AGAAGTTCTTAGAGTCTTTTCAAGAAGTTTTTTGCAAATGCTTTTAACTTTGTTTTAAGACTTAAAGTTCAAGTTGAGTAAAGAGTAAAGAGTAAAGAGTAAAGATTGAAGTTCATTTCTTCAAAAGTATATGTGGACTATGTATTCCCAAAGGGTTTTAAATGTTTTCACATTTAGACAAGAAAAGGAAACCTTGATTTCCAAAGAGCCTTTGAGCTAGTTTTTCATAAAAGAGTAACCGCTTTCTAAATGAAGCAAGAGAGGAAACTTTGATTTCCAAGATAGCATTTGAGTTAAGCTTTTGAGCAATTATCTCAAATCATAGAAAGAAGTATGCTTTTAAACATACGAGCTAGTATCATATTTTCAGTTTACATTTGTATATTTAAAAATAATTCATGAAAATATTTATACACTTTTGTATATCATTATATATGTGAGTTTGTTTTTTCTTTTCGGTTAGATTTGGTTCTTCAGCATATCATGTAAGATAATTAATATAATCAAACAATTATATTTGAATGGTGAAAAAGAACAAGTGTTATTAAATCATAATGTCAAATCTCCTACACATATATTTTGATATAAATCATGTCTAAAACATTAAAAATAATGTTTAAAAATATATAATCTTTATATTATACTCTAATACAAATAGGCCCATAAGTACGAATATTTAGAGTGGTAAAACACTCATAATTCAAAATACTTTGGATTCAGTTTTATTTTTCTAAATTTGAAATAGAATCAAAAAATTAAAATTTAAAATTTCTCAATCCAAAACTAGACCCAAAAGATAGTTAAATAAAAATTCAATTCATAAATTGGATTTGGGTCAAAATTGGAGTTTTCATGCCAATAAATTCTTTTGTTAGATTTGGCTATGTATATTTTTCTTGAAAAAATTATATAGGTATGATATTTTTTTTTGGGAAAATGGTCAAATATGCCCCTAAACTATTTGAAAAGGTCTAGATATATCCCCCGTTTAAAGTTTGGCTCACTCATCCCCTCGCCGTCCAACTTTTGGTCTAGATATGCCCTTATGGCGTATTTCCAACTCATTTTACATTTCTTTAAATGACAAATGGAATTGCCACGTGATATTTATATTAAAAGGGAAAGGGGTCGCTTATGCCCCTAAACTATCCGACCCACTTTTAAAACACCTATCCGACCCATAAATCACCCCTCTTTTAAATAACCTATCTTACCCATTTTCAACAATTTTGTTTAATTTTTATTTTTTTCGTTAAATCCTGAAAATGAGTAATTGATTAATAAAAAATAGGAAAAATATGAAAAAAATACAAAATTAACGCCAAAAATTTACAAATAAATATAGTAACCTTAAATTCGACAATTTCATTAATTTTTTTTAATTTTTTTTTTTTTGGTAAATCCCGAAAACGAGTAATTGATTAATAAAAAAAATATGAAAAGTATGAAAAAAATATAAAATTAACGCCAAAAATTCACAAATAAATATAGTAACCTTAAATTCAACAATTTCAACAATTTTTTTTAATTTTTATTTTTTTTGGGCAAATCTCAAAAATGAGTAATTTATTAATAAAAAAAGGAAAAATATGAAAAAAAATATAAAATTTACGCAAAAAATGATAGGAATCATAGTAAACGACTAAAAAATGTCGTTTTCGATACATAAAATATCTTGTCGGAGCTACACCGATAAAAGATTCTTAACGTAATTGTTTTCTACGATATAAAGGTAAACGTGATCGTAATATATTACACTTTTAATTACAAAAACAATAATAACATGTTCAATGTAATTCCTTAAGTAGTAAATTTTATATATTTTTCCTTTTTTTATTAATAAATTACTCATATTCGGGATTTGCCGAAAAAAATAAAAATTAAAAAAATTGTTGAATTTAAGGTTACTATATTTATTTGTGAATTTTTAGCGTTAATTTTATATTTTTTTATACTTTTCATATTTTTTATTAAACAATTACTTATTTTCGGGATTTACCGAAAAAAATAAAAATTTAAAAAAATTATTGAAATTGTTGAATTTAAGGTTACTATATTTATTTGTAATTTTTTTGCCTTAATTTTATATTATTGTTTTTTCATATTTTTCCTATTTTTTATTAAACAATTACTCATTTTCGGGATTTACCCAAAAAAAATAAAAATCAAACAAATTTGTTGAAAACTGGTCGGATAGGTTATTTAAAAGAGGGGTGTCTTATGGGTCGGATAGGTGTTTTAAAAGTGGGTCGGATAGTTTAGGGACATAAGCGACCCCTTTCCCTTTTAATATAAATGCCACGTGGCAATTCAATTTGTCATTTAAAGAAATATAAAATGAGTTGGAAATTTCTAACAGGCCAACTAACGCCATAAGGGCATATCTAGACCAAAAGTTGGACGGCGAAGGCATGATTGAGCTAAACTTTAAACGGAGAGTATATCTAAACCTTTTCGAATAGTTTAGGGGTATATTTGACCTTTTTCCCTTACTTTTTTAAATTACTTGGGAGTTGGGACATCTTTTTCTCATTAATTCCCCATAAAGAAGGTTTGTCAAATAATTTAGACACATATGACATGTCAAGCTCACCAAAACACATTATACGTTGAGGTAATCAGTTACGTAATTAATAATAAAAATGTGTTATAATATACTTCATATCAAATCACAAGATGTGATATAACATATAGAAGTGAAAATACATATTAAGAAAATCATAATTAAGTAATAGAAGTGTATACAAGAATTGTGGTGGAGTGGTAAGTACTCCTTCATACCTAACCAAGAGGTCTCGGGTTTGAGCCGCCTTGGGTACGAAATCGCCTTTGTTAGGAAGCACTTTACCTCCAATGGTGGGACTTTTCGATGCGAATCCGGATTTAGTCGGGCTCCCCCAATGGTGGGACTTCCTAACGTGAATCCGGATTTAGTCGGACTTCAATATGAGTACCAAACACTGGATGGGAAACAAAAAAAAATGTATTCAAAATCTTGTGCTATGATGATAATGATAAAGGGAAAAAACTCTTAGGTTGGTGAAAAAGGATTTACGAGGCCTGCTTATAAGACTTGAACCGTCCTCTTTTCTTTTGGGGTTGTTTTTAAAAATATAAATTAAATTCAAAATCTAATTTAACATATGGATCCTCAAGGAATCGGACAATTGTGGGGTAAAAATGCCCTAATGGAGCTCTAGATAAAAAAAAAAATGTTCGATACCAGGCATGAGGGGGAAGAAACTCCCACATGATCGCTAAAATGAGATAGATCCAGAATCTAATTTAACATTTTTTTTCTTTTTTCAAATGACATTAATTATTGGACCAAAATAAATAAATTAATTTACTTTTTGAAATTTGTTCACGTGGTGTTATGGACTAAATTTTCTAAGGGCTAACCCATTACTGGCCCCTTAAACTTGGCATCAACTTTCACTTGAACACTTTAATTAGACTTTGTTCATTTTAAGCACCTCATGTCGCGTCTCGTTGTGTCATTTTGACACTTTTTATATTTTCAAAATCACATTTTAAGTGCGTACATCCAGACGCCTCTTATGTGGAAAAATAAACGAATTGGTATGTCACACGTGGAAATTTTATTATATTTTTAAAAAACTTAATTTTACTTTCTTTTTTCTTTCTTCCAGATCCCAAACCCCATGCCCCCACCTCTTTTCTTCTTCTTCTTCCTGCGCCTCCTTCCCCTTCATCTGTTTTTCTCCATAAAAAAGGCAAGAACATAGGTTAGTTTACAAAGTAAAATACGTTTGGAGAATAAGGGAAATCATATCAAATCGAAAAGTTTTTATATGACATTTGATTTCTTGTGCTACTACGATTGGGATTTACAATGAAGGATACGTAAAATAATTATTTTTTTTTCATCAGAGGTTGTTCTTTATTTCTTTTTTATCTCTTGAAATCAATTTAATTTCGTAATTTCAACGGAGAAGGTAAGAATGTAAATAAGTTTTTCCATTTGAAAGAAGTTGATTTCTTTTTTTGTTCCCTTGAAATCGATTTTGTTTTTGAATGTGAATCAAGATGCAAATTCGATTTTCAAAGAAGATGGAAGAATCAAAGAGTGTAACCTAGTAAAATATTGTAGAATTTTAAAAAAAAATTGTGTGGTGATGGAGGATGGTAGAAGGTGGAGAAGATGGAAGGGAGAAAGCAAGGAAGAAGAAGGAGAAGAAAATATTTACAAAAAAATTCAGAATATTTACAAAAAAAGTGTCTGACGCGCTCAAAATTTGTGTAGCACACGTACTGTGCTTACTCAGCAAAAAATGTCAAAATGACACAACTAGACGCGATATGAGATGTCTAAAATGAATAAAGTTTAGTTGAAGTGTCTAAGTGAAAGTTGATGCCAAGTTTAAGGGGCCAGTGATGAATTACCCCCCAAGAGATCTGGAATATCTAGAATTTTGATTTCTAGTTTTAAAAAAAAAAACACGGCAGATTTGATGTGTCTCTGGTAGGCCATAATTCAAAATCAGCCACATATGCCTACCTATCCGTGATGCCTCAAATTAGGACAAAATAGGCCCATTACAACCATACACATTATGATATCTATTGGTGAATATTTATACATATTTGATTATGCACTCAATTGTTATTACTCCCTCTGTTTAAAAAAAAATGATTTTTTTTCTTTTTGGTAAAATTTTAATTTCAACTTTTCACATAGATTAAATGACAATTTTGTATATTTGACATAACTTTAATTTACGATCACAAAATTTAAAAGTTTTATTTTTAAATTTTGTGTCAAGTCAAACTAGCCCATTCTTTTTGAAACAGAAAGAGTATAATATTAACTTAAAGATAACATGAAAATTCACAAATTTTGAATTCTAAATCTGTCTGCTTCATGTCATTGTCAAGGGGCAAAAAGGAGCCAATCACTCATAAGCAACATTTTCATCTCATGGCTCCATATATGAGTTGTGTGTATTTCTTAGCAAAACATTGTAATACTAAATAACATGGCCTCTGTGATTGAGCAATGTCAAGTTGCGCCACCTCCCGGCGGCGTAGCGGAGGTAACACTCCCTCTTACTTATTTTGATCATGTTTGGTTAGGGTTCCACCGTATACGGCGGATCCTATTCTACAAGCTCCCCATTTCCAAACCCGATTTCATTCAAAACATTATTCCTCCTCTTAAAAATTCACTCTCCCTCACTCTCAAACACTATACGCCCTTAGCCGGAAACGTTGCTCGTCCACTAGATACCAACGGATATCCTGAGTTACGTTATGTGACAGGAGATTCTGTATCTGTTATTTTTTCTGAGTCTGATATGGATTTCAATTATCTCATTGGTGACCATCTGCGTAATGCTAAGGATTTTTATCACTTTGTTCCTAAGTTAGGGGAACCTAAGGATGCACCCAGGGTCCAATTAGCTCCGGTCTTAGCCATTCAAGTGACACTTTTTCCGAATCTTGGTGTATCCATTGGTTTCACTAACCATCATGTTGTTGGTGATGGAGCTACCATTGTAGGGTTCATTAGGGCGTGGGCTCTACTCCATAAATTCGGTGGACATGAACAATTCTTATCGAATGAGCTAATTCCGTTTTATGATAGGTCCGTAGTAAAAGACCCATATGGACAAGGGATGTTCATATGGGAAGAAATGAAGAAAAAGAATCTAGATATGCGTGACATTATGACTCCTCCTCCTGAACACAAGGTTCGAGGTACATTTACTATAAGACGAGATGATATTGAGAAACTCAAGAATTTAATATTGAAGTCAAGAAGACAGGGTAGTAGTACTACTCTAACTCATGTAACATCTTTTACTGTAACGTGTGCTTATGTATGGACTTGCTTGATAAAATCAAAGGACGCGATTGGAGAAGAAATGATCATAGATGATAGTGTAATGGAGTCCTTTGGATGTGCTGGAGATTTTAGAGCACGATTCAATCCACCACTTCCTCAATCTTATTTTGGGAATTGTATAGTTGGGTGTGTCACAAGATCAATAAGGCATGTTGACTTAGTTGGAAAGGGAGGCTTTGAAATTGCGGTGGAATTAATTGGAGAAGTCATTCAAAAACAAATGAAGGATGAAGAATGGGTCCTTAATGGTAATTGGCTAAAAGTGATAGACGACATAGACCTGAATCGATTTTTATCAATTGCTGGATCGCCAAAACATGACTTATATGCTGCTGATTTTGGATGGGGAAGGGCCGCGAAGTTAGAATTTATTTCTCTTGACAATGAAGATGGTGGAATTGTGATGTCTCTTAGTAAATCTAAGGACTTTGATGGAGATTTAGAGATTGGTTTGTCTTTGTCTAAAACTCAAATGAATGCTTTTGCTGCTATATTCACTCATGGGCTTAGCTTTCTATACCAAGTCTGAGTGTTCGAGGATTTGGCAAGGATTCCTACCTGTATCTTGGCTTTCTTATTCAATTGCTTGATATTAATTCTTTGTACATCCGAATAACCTTTTTTGTTTTGTTTATGCATTTTGCACCTTTAAGAGTATAATGTTTCTTCTAAAAGAAAATGTACTACTATATATTATACTTCTCTTTTGACAACCTTCTTAAGGTTTAATTTAATGATAGGAAAATACATAAAGTCTCCTCAAATTAGTCCTCTTATTTTAAAGAGACACTTAAACTCTGCAAAAATCTGATAATACATTCTACTTCATACCACCTAGCTTGAAGGAGGGCGTTGAAGAATAAAAAGTTAATTCAACACAAATGATGAGCCTACGTTGGTAATATAAATTTATTATTTGAATTTTGAAAATATAATACAAAACTATAAAAGAACATAGGGTAGCACGTGTTAAAGATGTAACCAATATAGTACTTATTTATTTACTTTTAATGTTCACTTATTGTGGTGAAACCAAAATGATCAAATTCCATTCCTACTTGCTACGTTTAGGAGTTTTTATATATATTTTTTAACTATAAAAAGGTTTAATTGTTCAAACTTTAATTAATTTTAAGATTCTAATTATGATTAGAGAAATAACAAAAAAATATAATTTTATCTAATGCGAAATCCTTTTATAAATGATTAAAAAAGGATGATCATTTCATTTATGGTAATTACATTTGGGTATGTAAGGTATATATATATATATATATATATATATATATATATAGGGAGAAAGAAATTTTGAATCCATGAATTTACTTATTCAACATGTCATTATAATGTAGTCGAATATATAGTTATATTTGAATAGGAAAAAGAACAAATATTATTAAATAATAATATCAAATATTATTAAATAATAATATCAAATCTCTTAAATATATTTTTTAATAGAAAGCATGCCTAAAACTATAAAAGTAGTGTTTCAAAGGTTATCAATACATGTTCATACCTCAAAGATTGAGAATGGGTCGTTTTAGACCTAATTCAATTTTTTTCAATTGCTGGATCGCCAAAACTTGACTTATATGCTGCTGATTTCGGATGGGGAAGGGCCGCGAAGTTAGAATTCATTTCTCTTGACAATGATGATGGTGGAATTTCGATGTCTCTTAGTAAATCTAAGGACTTTGATGGAGATTTAGAGATTGACTTGTCTTTGTCTAAAATTCGAATGAATGCTTTTGCTGCTATATTCACTCACGGGCTTAGCTTTCTATACCAAGTCTGAGTGTTCGAGGATTAGGCAAGGATTTCTACCTGTATCTTGGCTTTCTTATTCAATTGCTTGATATTAGTTCTTTGTACATCCGAATAACCTTTTTTGTTTTGTTTATGCATTTTGCACCTTTAAGAGTATAATGTTTCTTCTAAAAGAAAATGTACTACTATATATTATACCTCTCTTTTGACAACCTTCTTAAGGTTTAATTTAATGATAGGAAAATACATAAAGTCTCCTCAAATTAGTCCTCGTATTTTAAAGAACACTTAAACTCTGCAAAAATCTTATAATACATTCTACTTCATACCACCTAGCTTGAAGGAGGGCGTTGAAGAATAAAAAGTTAATTCAACACAAATGATGAACGTGATTGGTAATATAAATTTATTATTTGAATTTTGAAAATATAATACAAAACTATAAAAGAACATAGGGTAGCACGTGTTAAAGATGTAACCAATATAGTACTTATTTATTTACTTTTAATGTTCACCTACTCTGGTGAAACCAAAATGATCAAATTCCATTTCTACTTGCTACATTTAGGAGTTTTTATATTTTTTAAATATAAAAAGGTTTAATTGTTCAAACTTTAATTAATTTTAAGATTCTAATTATGATTAGAGAAATAACAAAAAAGTATAATTTTATCTAATGCGAAATCCTTTTATAAATGATTAAAAAAGGATGATCATTTCATTTATGGTAATTACATTTGGGTATGTAAGATATATATATATATATATATATATATATATATATATAGGGAGAAAGAAATTTTGAATCCATTGAACACAAGACTAGAGATTGACTCAGTGGTTTAGGAGTTCAAAATTTCCAAATTCAAACCCTAGACATTCTTGAATTCCTTTAATGAAAATTCTGAATTTGGCACTGGTCCGCAAGTAGCAACAACCACTTGAAAACTTTCATATTCTTGTCTTGTATACTAGAAAGTGATGCCCGTGCGATGCACGTGGTATAAGCCCAACAATTTGATTTTTAATGTGTTCAAATATGCAATATTTATTATTAAAAAAAAATGGACCAAAAGATATATCTTACCTTAAATTTTTCGTCATTACAAATTGTATTAGCATCAAGTTAATAATGCATTAGTACCATAAAAAAGATATAGCTAGTGCATAGTTAGGTTCGTATGACAACCAAAATAACTACCAACAATTGATATGCATTGATTTCATGAAAAAATCACTACATGGGAAGGAATCATCAACGTACAATTGTAATTTTGAGAATTAACCAAAAAAAATAAAAAATCTCTGCCATCAAACGAAAATGTAATTCACACAATTTTTAGTTGAAAATTACACTACTAACAATGCTAAAACTATTAATGATAGATCCTAAAAGGGTTTCTCTTGATCTTGCAACGGTTGATAGTAATCTAACTTTCATTTTTTCAAGCAGATTTTTTTTTTCACATGGATGTTGGTGCTTCTTCAGCGGTACATTTGTACCTTTTAGAAAAAATAAAATAAAATATGATTCAGGAGGAAAGTTTCGTTTAAACCCATAAAAAGGAAGTGACTTTTATGCAACAGTTAAATACCACTCTAACTTTTTCAATTTTCTTTCTCCATTTGTATTTCAAATTGCTTTCTCCATTTGTATTTGGTCCATGCCATAAGTGTGTTATTGTTAGAAAGTCATCCACCTGGAGAGGAAGGCATAACAAAGAATTAGGGATCATGACAAATTTCAACGGAACAAATTAATGCATTGGATGGCTTAAATTTAGGGTGAAGAAGCACAATTCATATGCTTGCCATTGTAGCACGCATGAATTAGCTATTTTTGGGAGACTTGGATTGTTAGTTTTTTTTTTTGCTTTTTTGGCCTAATTTTGAATTGCAATTGTAGCCAATTTCTTTCAAAATAGCCACCATTGATTAGTGTTATAGCCTTCAATTAATTGCCTATTTTCCAACTCTACATAAATTATTGTTATAGCTCTCAATTAATTAAACCTAAGTCATTGATATCAATATTAGACATGTGACAGTTGACACTCATTCAAAAAATAATTTGGGAATAAAGATGATAAGGTAAAATAAAGGTAAATATGGATAAAATATAAATAGTACAACTCACATAACATAATGTACAATTAAGTACTGCAGCGTTAGTCCTTTTGTTGTTGGCTTATATATAAGGTACTAAGAGGCTATGGAATAGTTGCCTCAAAATAAGGGGTTATATATGATTTTACATTTATAGACAACTTTACAAATTTGTTTATGGATCTCTGAGAATTTATTTTCATTTTCCTGAGATCGTGGAGAAGACATGTACAGTCCAATGAATTTCAATCCCTTATCTCTCGGCTCGAAAGGGCACCAACGGTCGTGTTATCATACATGATAGCTTTGATAAAAGCTATGTTATTATGCATGGAGCCTTTTAGAAAATCCCTTGCTTTCTTATATTGTCTAATTGAAGTGAAGTAATGTACCAAAATAAAGATGATAAGGAAAAATAAAGGTAAATATGGATAAAATATAAATAGTACAACTCACATAACATAATGTACAATTAAGTACTGCAGCGTTAGTCCTTTTTGTTGTTGGCTTATATATAAGGTAATATTGATATATATAAGCCACACCTACTTTGTGCATCAGCCACACATTCAAAGTCATTAGATATATTAATACTAACTACTTTGTGTATTACTTTACCAAACGAAAATGACTTCAGTACTGATTGAGCAATGCCAAGTTGTGCCACCGCCCCACGGCAGCGCAACTGAGCTAACACTCCCTCTAACTTATTTTGATCATATGTGGTTCAGTTTTGGCTATATAGGTTGGATTTTATTCTACAAGCTACCAATTTCCAAATTCAATTTCGTTCAAACCACTATTCCTACTCTTAAACTTCACTCTCTCCCTCTCTCTCAAACACTACACACCCTTAGTTGGCAACATTGCTTGTCCACTAAATTCGAGTGGTTATCCTAAGTTAAGTTATGTGACATGAGATTCTCATGTATTTGTTATGTGACTCACCTCAACATCACTTTAAGAGGTCAAATGTACCAAGTGTATCCACTTTGTATTCCTTTATTTTGATGGAGGATTTACAAAACTTTTTAAATTGGGTTGCACCAACAACAATGTGACATATAACTTTTCATACCACTTTAATGGATAAAAATTACCTTCACGTTTGAAGGAGCATCTTAAGAAAAAATGTGTCAAATAACCTTTCATACCAATTTAATGGACAAAATTACCTTCACATTTGAAGGACCATCTTAAGAAATCATAATGTTCTTCCTTTTAATTACCACAATGATGACCATTAACATTTTACCACACCCATATTCATACATCAACCACTTGTCATTTTTCTGATATGTATTGCTACCACATTCACATAAGAGAATAGAGCAAATTAATTGGGCAAATTTCATGACTTTCAGTCAAAAGTATACAACTTTATGTTAGTCATCATCATATCACCACTATAGTGCATTAGGACTTAAACCCAATGTCTTACCCATATAAAGACGTCTTTGGTCATAAATCAATAAGACTTGAACCCAACTTCTTATTATCATGGTGCACCGAGACTTTAACACGATGTCTTACCCGCTTGGTGCGGTGAAACTTGAATTCACTGTCTTAGCCTCAATCAATGTCTTGATAAACCAAATACGTTACCAAAAAAATAATTATCGAAAACCATAAATATAATCTGAATTTGACTTAAAGCATAAGAAAAATGAACAAAATCAATTAATTAGAGCAACATGTTGGAATCATATAAAAGTCCCAAGTTAAAATAAATTAAAACCTTTTAACATTCTATCTCAATATTGTTATGAAGATTAACATAATTTACTAATCATTTTAAAATATCCACAAAAAAAACTTTGTTAGTACAAATAATATATTGATAACTCAACAAGTAAATGTTTATATAAAGAAAAATCAAGAGGTACAAAAGTAACCAATAATGATGATCCAATCAGTATGTATATACCACATAACTCAATAATTTGGCTTTTAATAAAACAAGATCATAAAGAACAATTTCTTTACAAATTATTAACTTACAAAAGTAACTTTTCTTTTTAAATATATAAGTGATCAAATTAAAAGTTTGCTCAAAGCAAAAGCAACTTGATGGACTCATATGACTTTGAGATGGTAAGAAAACTAATGATGCATAATCAAAAGTAAAATATAAAATAGATTATATAGTAATTTACCTTGTTCCCGAGAGAAAAATAAACACAAATATTTTTACCTTCTTTATATTTACTTTGTTTCAATCCTTCAATAGTAGAACAATCGTGCTAATAACGTGTTCATTAATTCTTTGTACATTCGAATAAGTTTTTTCGTTTTGTTTATGCATTTTGTACCTTCAAGAGTATAATGTTTCTTCTAAAAGAAAATGTACTACTGTATATTATACTTTTCTTTTGACAATCTTCTTAAGGTTTAATTATAGGACAATACATAGTCTCCTCAAATTAGTCTTCTTATTTTAAAGAGACTTAAACTCTGTAAAAATGTTATAATCCATTTTTTTGGGATGAAGAGTATCTTCATATCATCTAGCTTGAAGGAGGGCGTTAAAGAATAAAAAGTTAATTCAACACAGAAATAATGAGCGTGGTTGGTTATATAAATTTATTATTTGAAAATATAATACAAAACTAGGAAAGAACATAGGGTAGCACGTGTTAAAGATGTAACCAATATAGTACTTATTTATTTACTTTTAATGTTCACCTACTCTGGTGAAACCAAAATGATCAAATTCCATTTCTACTTGCTACATTTAGGAGTTTTTATATTTTTTAAATATAAAAAGGTTTAATTGTTCAAACTTTAATTAATTTTAAGATTCTAATTACTATTAGAGAAATAACAAAAAAGATAATTTTATCTAATTTGAAATCCTTTTATACACGGTAATTACATTGTGTAGGTAAGGTATTAATGTTTTTTTTTTTTTTTTTGTATATATGAAGAGAGAGATTCCGAATCTCTTGAACACAAGACTAGAGGTTGACTCATTGGTTTAGGAGCTCAAAAATTTACCTTCCAAATTCAAACCCGAAACATTTTTAAATTTCCCTAATGAAAATTCTGAATCTGACACCGGTGCGCAAGTAGCAACAACCACTTGACAACTTTCATATTCTTGTCTAGTATATTTTGCTATATAAGCCACATCTACTTTGTGCATCAGCCACACATTCAAAGTCATGAGTAGATATTGATATGCCAAACCTACTTTGTGCATCAGCCACACATTCAAAGTCATTAGATATTGATAAGCCAAACCTAGCTACTTTGTGTATCACTTAACCAAACGAAAATGACTTCAGTACTGATTGAGCAATGCCAAGTTGCGCCACCTCCCCATGGCGGCGTAACTGAGCTAACGCTCCCTCTAACTTATTTTGATCATATGTGTTTCAATTTTGGCTATATGCGTCGGATTTTATTCTACAAGCTACCAATTTCCAAACTAGATTTCGTTCAAACCATTATTCCTACTCTTAAACATTCACTCTCCCTCACTCTCAAACACTACACACCCTTAGCTGGCAACATTGCTTGTCCACTAAATTCGAGTGGTTATCTTGAGTTGCGTTATGTGATAGGAGATTCTGTATTTGTTACTTTTACTGAGATTGATATGAATTTCAATCATCTCATTGGTAACCATCCTCGAAATGCTAAGGATTTTTATCCCTTCATTCCTCAATTGGCACAACCTAAGGATACACCGGGGGTAAAACTAGTCCCGGTTTTAGCCATTCAAGTGACACTTTTTTCGAATCTTGGCATATCCGTTGGTTTTAGTAACCATCATGTTGCTTGTGATGGAAATACCATCGTGAAATTCATAAGAACATGGGGTTTACTCAACAAATTTGGCGGTGATGAACAATGCTTAGAGAATGAGTTCATTCCATTTTATGATAGGTCCGTAATAAAAGACCCTTATGAACAAGGGACGATTATATGGGATGAAATGAAGCAAAATATGCCGGAGATAGGTGACATAATTGTGACTCCTCCTCTTGATAGAGTTCGAGGTACATTTATTATAGAACGATATAACATTGATAAGCTCAGGAATTTAATATTGTCAAGACGACCTAACTTAAGTTATGTGACATCTTTTACAATAACTTGTGCTTATATATGGACTTGCTTGATAAAGTCAAAGTTCGCGATTGAGGAAGAGACGATAGATGAGGATGTTATGGAGATTTTTGGATGTGTAGCGGATTGTAGATCGCGTCTCAATCCACCACTTCCTCAATCTTATTTCGGTAATTGCCTTGTCACGATTGTTTCAAAAGCAAGTCCTGTTGACTTAGTTGGAAAGGAAGGGTTTATAATTGCTGTGGAAGTCATTGGAGAGGCCATCAAGAAGCAAATGAAGGATGAGGAATTGATCTTGAATTGTAGTTGGTATAGAGAATTTCGTGTTGTTGACATGAAACAACCACTTACAGTTGCTGGATCACCAAAGTTTAATTTGTATGATGTTGATTTTGGTTGGGGTAGGCCAGAAAAAATAGAGATTATTTCTATTGATAATAGTAGTGGTATATCTATGTCCATTAGCAAGTACAAAGATTCAGATGGAGATTTAGAGATTGGCTTGTCTTTGCCCAAAATTCGAATGAGTGCTTTTGCTGCTATATTCGATCATGGGCTAAGCTTTTTGTAAGAATGTACCAAGGTCTATTGGATGCACAGATGAGAAATACGGTCTCTCCAATCTTGTACTTCATCATTATGTGTTTGTTACTCTCTCATCACATCAAATATCAGAAGGCCTCAACAGAATATATTGAATTCATCACTCATCTCATCCAGATCAGTCTCATTTCAGGTAGTACAATTTACAATTCCAAAATAAATTCACTCAAGATAACTAATCAATGCTGGAAAGTTCATAAGTTTAGTTACTTTATTTATGACATATTTATTTAAATAAGGATATAATCGGAAAAAAATTGTTGTCCTTTCTTGATTTGTCAAAATGGACAACTAAATAGAGACAACTAAAAGAGGAAATATGGACAACTAAATAGGGACGGAGGTAGTATTGTTTAATGATTCTGTTGTATACAATTGGAAAGACGTATGAGACCACCTTCTAACCATTTTGTCCCAAAAGAAATAAAAAGAAGGCCTCTCAATCAATGTTTTGCCAATAAAACCATACCATTCAATTTTTTAACATAGTAGTAACTATCCGTACAAGAAAAACGATTTTAGGCATCTTTGTGGTATTGATCAACAACTACTACATCTCAGTCCCAAACAAGTTGTGTCAACTTATATGAATCATCATTGATCATGTTTTTTTCATTTAAATTAATTTCAGGCCAAGATTATACACACAGAAAAAGCACTCCATATTTTTATTTTACATTTTTGATGAAGTAAAAGTATCCATATTTTTTCATAGCCTAAAAATTTGACATAGGGCTACAAGTTTCCCTAGAAAGCATAACACCTGAAATAAATGTACTAACACAATCAAAACATATACCAAACTAATTTGTATCACTTATAGAGATTTTCTTCTTCCCCTATGCCCTATCTTTCGTAAGTTTGCATGGATTCCAAGAAATTGAAAGTCTTCCAGGACAATTTTTTTGATGTAATTTTAAGTATGCCTCGTCCTCTTTTGACATCTTCACTCACCATGGTCTCACACCAATAAATTGGTGCATCCAGAGGTCAATGGAATATATGACCAACCTATCTCAAGCAACCTTCTATCATGAGGTAATTACACCTATTGCCGAATGTCGTCATTCTTTATCTGTCTAATCTTTCATGACCACACATCCATCTTTGCATTTGGGTCTCTGTGACACTCAAATCTTGTATGTGTTGGACTTCAATGGCCAATATATTCACTCACATACAACATTGATGGTCACTTCAACATAACATTGATGGTCTTACACTTGTTCTATTGAACGTAGTTATCAGAACAAAAAACGCCTAGGCATCTTCGTGGTACTAATCAAAATGAAAAATATTCTAGGTATCTCTATTGTGCGGTTTCATTAATCAGATAATGATTCTTGAAGTAACTGACCAAAGGAAAATAAAATTGGGTACATGCTCCATAAAAACATGACAAAATTGACTAAAAACTTAACCAAATTCAACCCCAAAATATAAGTTGTACATGATAAAATAAGGCGATTGATCGTCAACAAATAGTACAATGAAAAAAATAAAGATTAGACCAAATAACTTGCCAAAATAAAAAGCTCACACCAGACACAAATACTCGAATAGAATAAAAATGGAGAAAGTTTGAAACAGTTACGATTGTCAAATACTCAAATGAAGTGAAATAAAAAAAGAAATAGCGAACAAAAAATTGCCAGAACTGAGAGCCCAGTTTGAGCGAGAGAAGAATAGAATGCCTTGTGCCATTGTCCACATTATTCATCACATTTTCCACTGCTTTTGTAATTCATTTGTCACTACATTATTATTGGCCTATGTTTTGACAATTGAGTTACCATCTTGGCTAGTTTGAATGTTTCTTTTAAGACATTCTAAGTTTATTTCGCAAGTTCCTTTTGAGACTATTTCTTGTGTTTAAGTCTTCCGTTGAGTAAGTAAGCCAGACCAAGGGTTCGCTTGGGGCCAACAATGGTTCTTGAGTGCCAGTCACATCTAGAGTGTAGGCTCGGGGCGTGACATGACCATTTTGATAATTCGCTCCTCTCCTTTCTAAAGGAGTTTTTCGTTTGGAATCGATTGATCTATCACGCTTCTGGTGTACCATAGATTTTTTCCTTCAAGGACTATTTATTAGAGCATTTGCAGCTTAATTAAAATATTGGGTCAGCAAATACATCTGGCAAATTATTTGCAACATTTTGCAAATGAATTATCTTTTGAATTTCAAGTTCACATTTTTTTAACAAGGATCTAGATAATTCACCCACGCATAATTTTCAGCTGCTAAACATATATCCCCCCAATGTTAGGAAATCTAACATTTACCCCAACCTCATTTGGAGATCCATCTTTGTACGTGGTGGAGTTATAAAATCATATGTGCACACATCAAATTTTGAGATGGAAATTATTTGGTTCCTGACCCTGAACCAATTATGATGGGAGAACCTTGTTGGCTTGATGCATACATGTTAAATAAGCTTATCTCATACCAAATTTTATGTGAGAGATTCGTTCCCATAATCAGTGGTCTAGCTATAGTTGGAGGCAAACAATTTCTGCTAAACCAACCAGTATTATCAACATAATCTTATAGTTTGGAACTGTGCTCTTAATTTAACAATTTCAGCAAACAACCTTACAAAAACTAATTTGTAAGTTGATACAAATGCACATGTGACCACACCATAGATGCATCTATTAAATCATAATAGTAAGTGGTCCACATGGCAGGTGAACGGGCCTATATTCACCTTTTTATATGTTCCAAATAATTTCAGGGGACACAATCCCAACATTAACTGGTACAATGATCATTTTATCATGAGAACAGGCAACACAAGAGAATTCTTGAAGAATCTTTTATTTCTTCAAACATATAGTCACATGAATTTTCAATTTCTTTTGCATCACATTTGAATTGGAATGGCCAACCGATTATGCCAACTGATATTTATTCTAGTAAACTTCTAGTTTACTTTTGCATGTGATTCCATCACCATGCCCATATTTGTATACAACAAACAACGGGGAAAAAATGGGTAATCTTATATGTAAATATTTATAACCCACTTTGATTGTAGTAATTTGAAGACATTAAATCTTCCCATAATTTATAGTCTCAATATAATATTTTTGCTTTTCCATTCTTCCGAATCTTAAAAAGTTTCTTTTGAGACTTACTACAATCCCAATATTATGAACAATTTCATTCCTCCGGATAGTAACAAATTAGCCTTTCGAAACTCTCAATTAATTTTGTGTACTACCACAAATTTCACAATGTCATTCTTATGGTGACCATCTCCTTTAAGGAGAAAAAATATTATTACTCTTATGGTTAAAATTATCACATGCAAGACATATTTCTTGACAACCAATAACAAATTTGTGTTGCCACACAATAATATTTATTTTGGTCATGGCCACAACCTTTATAGGAAAGAATTATTTCTTTCTTTTGTCCTTCAATAGTTCATAATTTAACATACCACAATATTTGTGTAGTACTTAAAGTATATGACTAAATGACCATTTATGTCAAAATATTCTTTTCAATCTCTCAAACCTCCCGTAAAGGTGAGATGTGACATTTATCCAATAATACATGAACATGTTCTTATTCATAAGAACACAAGTCACATTCTCTTTAAGAAATTGAGAATAACCATTTGAACATGCTCCATTAGTTTTTATTAGAAACTCATTGTCATGAAACTCATTGTCATGCTTTCACATTTATCAAATTTATGTGACTCACCTCAACATCACTTTAAAAGGTCAAATGTACCAAATGTACTACCACTTTGTAATCCTTTATTTTGATGGAGGATTTACAAAACTTTTCAAATTGGATTGCACCAACAACAATGTGGCATATAACTATTCATACCACTTTAATGGATAAAAATTACCTTCACATTTGAAGGAGCATCTTAAGAAACAATGTGTCCAACAACCTTTCATTCATACCAATTTAATAGACAAAATTACCTTCACATTTGAAGGACCATCTTAAGAACTCATAATGTTCTTCCTTTTAATTACCACCATGATGACCATTAACATTTTACCACACCCATATTCATACATTCAACCACTCGTCATTTTTCAGACATATTATGTACTGCTACCACATTCACATAAGAGAATGAAGCAAATTAATTGGGCAAATTTCATGACTTTCAGTCAAAAGTATACAACTTTATGTTAGTCATCATCATATCACCACTATAGTGCATTAGGACTTAAACCCAATGTCTTACCCATATAAAGACGTCTTTGGTCATAAATCAATGGGACTTGAACTCAACTTCTTATTGTCATGGTGCACCGAGACTTTAACACGATGTCTTACCCACTTGGTGCGGTGAAACTTGAATTCACTGTCTTACCCTCAATCAATGTCTTGATAAATCAAATACGTACGTTACCAAAAAAATAATTATCGAAAATCATAAATATAATCTGAATTTGACTTAAAACATAAGAAAAATGAACAAAATCAATTAATTAGAGCAACATGTTGGAATCATATAAAAGTCCCAAGTTAAAATAAATTAAAACCTTTTAACATTCTATCTCAATATTGTTATGAAGATTAACATAATTTACTAATCATTTTAAAATATCCACAAAATAAACTTTGTTAGTACAAATAATATATTGATAACTCAACAAGTAAATGTTCATATAAAGAAAAATCAAGAGGTACAAAAGTAACCAATAATGATGATCCAATCAGTATGTATATACCACATAACTCAATAATTTATCTTTTAATAAAACAAGATCATAAAGAACAATTTCTTTACAAATTATTAACTTACAAAACTAACTTTTCTTTTTAAATATATAAGTGATCAAATTAAAAGTTTGCTCAAAGTAAAAGCAACTTGTTGGACTCATATGACTTTGAGATGGTAAGAAAACTAATGATGCATAATCAAAAGTAAAATATAAAATAGATTATATAGTAATTTACCTTGTTCCCGAGAGAAAAATAAACACAAATATGTTTAC